GAGTAGATTTGTACATTCCGAAGAACTACCATTTTGCCCGGTACATGCTCTGCAATATTTTGCTAGTGCATGCCTGTGTCTACCTCTCTTTGAGAACTTGCTCTGCAGAGGTGACAGCCCTTTTGTTATCAGAAGTTACTTAGCTCACCTTGATAGGAAATGAGAAAGTGCTTTAAAGAGCAAAAGGAAACCCTGCATATTATGGTCTGCATCCTCTCTGAAGGAAGTGTTTTGAAGATGCTGTTTGGCAAATATTTTTCTGTATCTTATTTTATGCAGTTTGTTATACCTCAAGAGAAGCATATTTCTGACACCAGTCAACATTTCCTTATTGCTGTGCTGTTACCATGTGAATGCTGTTTGTTAAAAATGTGAAAAAACTGTGTGAAGGCTATATAGGAAGACCACATCTTTACCTGGGGTAAACAGTTATCCATGGAACTATACAGACTTCATACAAATACAGAATCTGGCCTAAAGTAACTTCGGGTGCTTCTCATGGTACTAACTGCATGCCTAAGATATACAGACTTCTAATTCTTACATGTATACCACTTAAAAATGGCTCCAGTAATTTTAACACCTTTGCTGATTTGAATGTTATTTCCATGTTGTCTTTTGAACCAATGCCTACTATTCCTTTAATCTCTTTGCATTTCAGTTAGTAGCATACTTTCCCCCTGTATTACTACATATTTTAGGTAAGACTTTGTCAAATGCTTATAAAATATAAGTGAATATTCTCATAAGAGAACTGTCAGTCTGTGAAATAGTTTGAATTTTACCCATGCAAAAATCTTTTGATATCAATTTATGCATACGTTCTCTAAAGCTGATGGGTTTTGCTTGTGATTCTTGAAATGTTTTCTTGCCTAGTCCTAATCTTTGGAGATCAGAGTATATGAGGAAAATTGCCCAGTCCTCTTTAGGAATAGGTTCTCTAGGAACAGACTATCTCTTCTGGTCTGACGAAATTCTACAGGCAAAATACTTTGACCTTCATATAGATTAACCTTAATTGAACTTAATTTCTTTCTTCCTCCCACCTTTCAAACCAAAGCATGTCAGAGCATTTTTTTTTCTCCTGTAGTTAAGTGCGAATAGGCAGAATCCATTAGTGGTTGCCTTGCTTTGATTGTCAGAGCTCCAAATTGGTGTTCTCTTCTATGGATTTTTGCTTGGATAGCAGCAGAACCTTCAGTTTAATGGCTCGTAGTTAGTCTGATAGCACCAGCCACTTTCATAGCTGCAAAAGCTGTCTGTCATCTTTTCACTGCCTCAGAAGTCATTTGATGCTGAGATCAGATTTCCATAGGATTTTTTTCCTCTTAGATTAAAGGTTGTGCATACATCAGTGGCACATACTGGGGCCTGAAAGGGATTATTCACTTTTTCCACATGAAACATCTAGTGGGGTTGTGGGTGAGATGGAGGGAGAAGTGAGTGACAAAGCAAGCCATTCAGCTGAATAAATTGAAGATAGCCAGTTTTAAAGGCACTGTGAGAATTTGTGGCCTTTGTAGAACCATGATGCACAATGGCTGATTCAGAGCAAGGTATAAGACAAGGAAGAAAGAGTCTAGAAAGGATGGGGAGAGGGGGGGAAAGATGTGCATATGATAGCTTGCTTTAAAAAAAAAAAGATGAGACTAGCTAAATGTTCAGACAGAGGTGAGGGAATCTTATGATAATTAAGCACATATTAATGCAGAAAGTAGAGCAATGTTGAAAAAGCTTCTTTTTGTTAATTGAGTTTGAAGCTAGTATAGTAGCTATCGGTGAGAAAACAGAACACAGTGAGGTGTCTTCTGTTGACTGACTCAGCACAGCATGCCTTCCAGGAGTCTCTGTTTCTCTCTACATAGTATTAAGGCTCATTGCTTTCTATAATAGGAAAGTGTGAAAGTTAAAATGGGTAATCTTGGATTTGTTTTTTCCTGATGTAGCTGAGTAGCCCTCCCTTCCTAAAAGTGACTTAAAAACCTAAAATATCAATAACTGTTTTTTTTCCTAACAAGCGTATTTGGCATGAAATATTTCCAGAGTCTCCCTTCTAATATGTGATTTAGGGAAAAAAAAAAGTGTGAAAGCTTGCACACCTGACGATCCCATTTTTCACAATTGTGCCCCTCAAACTACTTAGTGTCGCTAGCATCTGTAACCTAAAGGTATGGAAGTCTCCAGTCTGCAAAAAAGCAAGAACATTACTATTTCAGAGCCAGGGAGCAATGAAATCTATAGTGTTGCTTTTCTCTCCACTCACGAACAGTGGTTTTCCATCTTTGAAGGATAGAGAGTGACCAATCTAACCATTCCTTGTAAAATTAGCAATAGCTGTTGCTGCAGCTGTGATGCAAGTACCGACATTCTGGGAGACTATGCAACATCCCTTAACAAAAAATTTCTGTATGTACTTATCTGTGGTGTGATAAATAGAACATCTCATGTCTGTTTATAATTAGCCCGAAGTGAACTGTTCTGTCTCTCTTTGGGTAGATTGAAATTGATGGTGACTTAGATTGCTACAGTTAATAACTTAAGATCTTTAAGCTGTTGGTTGCTTTGGGTTCAGGGCTGATGGGATGCAGTATAAGTGTCCAGTTCCTGATGTTTTATCTGTATTGCACAAAATACAAGATGGCAGGGCCACCTAAACTAAGTTGCTGTTAGGTCTTTAGCCTTTTTGTGGTGTTTCTGCAATCAGCTTAAAGTCTTAGTGAAAAATTTAGGTCAGCAATGTGTGTAGTCTGTTCCTAATAGATAGATGCAGAACTTACATTACAAGAAAGTTCTTACATTTCATTTTTTAATCCAAATGTTCAAAGTATGTACACAGATTTAGAATAGTGAATGAGGAAACATGAGTAGTTCAATACCATGTGGACTTAATCTGATGATTAGCTTTAAATTTAAAACTGGCTCTTAAGACAGCTTTGAAAGTGAAGTTATAGAAGCAAGGTGTGAACTGACAACCACATGTACAGCTACAATGGCCTGAAGTTCTTGTGCTTGCCTTTGTGTTCTGTGTAGGAGCAATCACAGTGGTGTTAGATTACTTGGGGCAACATATGTCTATGCTTGAAGGGAAGCATGGCAATGTAAGCACTAGGCTCCTATAAAAAGTGAAAAAGCATGGTGTCTGAGAAGAATTCCCCTAATGATTATGAAACAGGTTGCAGATGTGTCCCTGTTAAGGAAATGAAAGCAACAGAGCAGATGGCAACTCCTCTAAGGGGACTTTTTGATGTTGTTTCTTTATGTATCTGGATTGTCAGTATTCCCTTTTTTACCTCCAAGAAGCAGAGAGACAATGAGATCTGATGCAGCCTTCACAATGCATGTATCTTCAGCTTGTGAACTACCCTGGAGCCGCAGCAGGATCTCAGACAGCACCTCTTGCACGCCTGCCTCCACCAACTGCACTTTCAGAGCATCTGTAGAGATCATAGTAAAAGCACAGTCAAAGTTTCTTGGGTCTTTGTTGAAGTGTTTCAAACTAGGAAGCTAAATCTTTGAACTTTAGCCAGCCTTTTTTCAGGTGCAGTCACTTTTTTGGTTTTGTTTGTAATAGATATTCTGGTGCCAGGATGACACCAAGGCAGAATGAACAAAACTTCTGCAATTAATCTTTGACTTTTCATGTATTGCCAGTTGTGAGTTTTCATTTCTTTAGATACCTGGTAACAGATTTTAGATATTTTTAGTGGATTCTTGTTGGTGCTTGTTACACCACTGCTTAGAGTAACATGTTCTATGATATTTGGTTGTCATTTTCTTATATAAAACAATGTCTAGTCTCTTTCTTGTGACACACCATGGAGAATGAGTTTGAATCTGCTACATTATGGATCCACTGAAATAGTGAAATGCTACTCTCTCCCTCCTTTCTTTGTTGCCTCACCTATTAAGCTTCCAAGTCTTGCTCAGGCCAGGATCTCATATGTTCTTCTGCTTATTTCCACTGAAGGGATTGCTAGTTCCATTAGTATGATCCCATGGCAAACGCAGAACCCAGAGCTTAAGCTAAGGACCCTGTCTCCCCTCATTCCCCCCAGCCAAAAGGAGCCTTACCATTTTCTGCAAGTGCTTGCAGGACCTCAAAGACAATTTCTAACCTCTCATGGTTCTCTGCTCTTCTCAGTTGTTTCACAAGCTGTTCAGCAATCTTTGTCTTGCTTAGAGCTTCCTTGGCTGTATCTGTGTATACGATAAAGTCAGGATTTTGAAGGTTTCTTTATCTGATTAAATGCTAAAAGCATATCTCCCTATAATCTGAAGTGATTAGACACTACTTTGGTTTTGAATGCTTTTTCTGTTTTTATAGATGTTTCTGTCCCTTTAGGCAGCACAGCAAAACTCCATCCCTTCTGCTCCTGATTTGTTCTTTAATGCTATTTTTGTGTAATTCCTGTAGCTATGACCTTATAATAGGTCTGAAATTAATCCTGGCTTAATTCCATTGACTCTTGTAAATCCATCTGTAGTATGATTATTTAATATATCAAATTGGCACATGCCAGTTTACTGTAGTATACCTTCTGCCTTGATTAAATGGTTCTAGTCTTGCTGGGATCCTAAACACTTACGAGATGTTAAAGATGATTTTTTTTTAAAGCTTGCTGCTGTCTGATAGAACACATTTGAATGGAATATGGTATTAAACAACGTGATCCATAAAGGACAGACCTCACTAGAGGATGGTGTGACAGTGTGATACCATACTACTTCCCTGCCTCTTCCTAAATGCAGGAAGCAGTAGATCAAATTGTAGTCAGACCATATACAAAGTATAATATTTTTTCTACTTGGTCTTTTTCTTTCATCACTACTTACAACTTGTGTGAAGTAGGACAGATGTATTTTAAAATCAGTGGAGATGCCTTTGGTTTGAAAATTGTGTAAATGAAAAGGGAAGCTGTTTCATTAATGTATGTAAACTTAGTTATTAAATAGAAATTTTTTAATAAATGAGTACTTAATGTACCATCTCTGAAGTAGTTGAAAGTGTCAATTTACCACATGAAATTATGCCTTCTATACTTTTTTCTGGGTCAAAAGCTATTAAAACTCATTGTTTTAGTATAGTACCAGAAATTGCTGGTACTCCAGGAAACAGTAGTTACTTCTCCAATACAGGTACTGTGGCCAGTCCCTGATTTAGGTATCAGGAGTGTTTAAAAAACAACCCCCAAAACAAGCAATACTGATACACACCCCCTTGCTCCCCCCACCAATAACCCAACAAACACCAATAAAAACCACAAAACAAAAAACTGCCCACAAACCTGCGGGCATCCTACATGTACATGGGAAGGCAGCAACAGTGTGAAGATGATATTTTGCTTCAAGATACAAAAACATTTACTTACCAAGGTCTGCGAGATTGCATAAGGCCAATAGATCAACATGGACAAGTGGTTCACTCTCTGCATAATCGGTTAATATTCGGACTAGTGATGTGATTACTCCTACTTTCACGAGCTCTTCCTGAAGATCCCCTGGTAATAGTAAGCATAGAAGTTAAAGGTGATTAAATAGGGACCAATTAAATCAGTAAAAAGGGGCCAACTGAGATGCTTCGCAGTAAGATAATCTGGTTCTTTCTCACACCGTTAGAATTTGTACAGCTTTTGTGCTGTGGGTTCAGGCTAATGTGCGTGTTTGGGAAATGCAGGTTCAGGACAGTTTTGCTAAACCTCCTGTTTGTACTTGAGAAATTAAGCTACTGTAAAAATATATAAGGGCAATTGCATGAGCATCTCCACTACTAATGCAGCTTCTAAAGAGATTTCTGATGGACTGTATCTTTTGGCATGTATCTGAAAATTGAGTGAGAAACAGACAGTTGGCTTATTTCTCTTGGGGAATGGGAATCTCAGCCTTATTATTCTACAGCTGCTTTTGTTCTGAAGGGCAGGGAGATGGAAGGGACTAGAAACCCAAGATAAAGCATAATCTAGTGATGGCTCTTCTTTCAGGGATCAACAGTGTTCTGACTCATATAGCAAATGGCCATATATATGCTTTTTGCATGTTAAAATAATGATTCTTTTTTGTTTCTGGAAAAAAAAAATCTTTGTAAAACAAGACATGTTACCAATATCTGGGCTGGTATAAGATACCACTGAGAGACAGGTGGCTTTAAAGTTCATCTAGGGGAAGTCATCCTCTTGTAGTCCTTTGCATGTTAGTTGCTTGGCATGTATGGAGTCTTGGAGTGCATCATTTCAAGCTGTCTTTGGGATTTTTATAGGCTGAGTAAGGTTTTCAAGCAGGTGTAAATTTGTGTGACTTAAGGGAAGTCAACAAAGTAGAGTAAGTAAAAATTAATCTGGTCCTGGTCCCAGTATATTAACTATGCATGCAGAATTGCTGAGGAAAACACTGATAACTTTTCTTTTTGTAGTTTGTCTTGTAATGAATGAAAGCTTAATATCTAAAATGACTTTGAGAATGCCAAGAACTATGAAATACAAGTGACAGTTGCATAACAGTCCAATGACACTGCTTTTGCAGCAGTGTCTTGCTGAGAGTTAGAGTCCAACTTGGATAACAGCATGTATGACAGACACTAGAAAGTGTCTGGGTGCTATTGTAGCACATATGATTGTAATTCAATCAGGAAATCACTGAAGTTAATTTTTCTATGATGTATTTATTGCTATGTTAGTAATAGAAATTATTAAAGCATGTATGTTATGGTCACAGTCATCTTATCTATGCTGGGCCTGTGTTCTGACAGAAGCAAGCAGGTTTGCAATATGACTGTATGCTGTAGTAATGCTGAGGTACAGTAGAAGCATGAGCCTTGCATGCAATCATATGGGTAAGTGGGTTTTTTAAACTATTACGTGGCGTTCCTTGGCAAATATATCTAATTTGCAGGGGGCTAGTAGAATCTATACCAGGTACCTATCATGCATGGATTTCATAGGAGCAGCACAGAGGCAAACCCATAGCTTCCTAGATAAAGCTATGCAGATCCACACTGGAAAGATCATAAAAGGTAGGTTGAAGGCAGAGGGAAATGGATAGAAGATACTGGGTGAAAAGTTCTATATTATATCCAATATGAAATAGATACTTTTGGTCAGTCTGGGAATTAAAGGTGAAAGAAAAATCTTACTGTTGGGGCAAGTAAATGATAAGGGTTTAATTGGTGAGACCAGCAGGCAGGCTAGTGTACTGGCTTTATGGAAAAGTCTGGAGCACAAAGATCTCCTATATGCAAGGAATGGTCCTCAGAGACCATTCCTTGCATAAATACATATCTTAGTATTTTTTTTATCTTTAGAGTATGTTTTTTCTGACACACTTTTTAGATAAGTGCTTTGCTTTATAGATGTTATTACTTCGGAAGAATAAAAAGCCATTCAGTATTTGGGCCCAAGGCAGTTCTACAAAATTAAGATGCATACAAGGCTCTGCTACTCTGGTAGTTGCAGAGCAGTTCTGACAAAGATATGTCACCTTGAAGTCAAAAATATAGGGGGAAACCAAAGTTTAGGAGGTGTTCAGGATGTATTCAGCCTGCTGTGTGACTTGTGTGTCTAACTGGAGGCTGGAGTGCCTTGTGTGCTCAGGTCTCATAAAAAAAAATTGAGTTACAATGTCTTATAATGCCTTACAGCTAGGGAAAATAGAATTCTCTCAAGTTGATACTTACGATTATCATAACAGATACGGCCAATAGCCCTCCCAGCATGAAGCAACATTTCTTGGTCTGTGCTCTCCAGAAAAGGTATCAAAGTTAGAACCAAATCTGCTTCAATACATGGTTTCTTCATTTCCTCTGTGTGGGTAAAGGAGAGGGACTTGTGGGTTTTTTGCCAGGTTATAAAACAATTGCAACTGCAAGACCAATAGCCGGTAGCCATGAAACAAAACTTGAGTGTGGAAACATACAGCTAATGTGCTATAATATGTCTTGTAGTAACACTTTAGTACAACATACCATTCTTGGCTATCTCTGAAAGCACCTGGGCTGCTTTCACTGCACATCGTGGATTACCCTTCAGGATTTTTGCCAAAGTTAGGAAGATCCCACTCTCTCTGAGTAGGCTCAAGGATCTCTGCTCTGTAATGACAAGAGTGTTAACAATATGTGCAGTAGGTTTGCAACTCTTTATTTACATGTTGCTTTGTTTCCTAGAGTTCCGAGGCGATGTCTGTGGAATCCAAGGTTCTGATTTAACAAGGTACTTAAAGACTGTCTCAGTCTAAATATATAGGAAGTAATCTGCTTGAATTGCAGCAAGTGTAATTCCAGCTGATTATTCTGCTTTGTGCTGAATTGAAGCACAGGTGGCAAAGCAGAGGAAAGCAGTTTTATCTCCTCTGACTATAAAAGGATGCTTGCATAAGACATGGAAAGTCAGAGATTAAGATTCTATTAGTGTGGGATATGGCCTAGCAATTAATTTTGTGGGTAGAGACAACATCTTTTATTAGACTAGCAATTAAAACAGTCAAATCCCTTAGCCTTTTTTCATCAAAAGTATGGCTAATTGTCCTTAGGGTAGTAAGTCACCATATGCCAGGAGATGCAAATGAATGCAGGTTTTTGTCATTTCAGGAGAATGTGCAGAGACCTTAAACACTTTCTTATAAGGAGACTAGGAACTATTCCTTAAATTCCTGACCTGAAAGGGTCACCCCAAATTAATCCTAGAAGTTTGCAGAGAAATTCCATTCTATTTACTACAAAACAGCTTCATGTGTTTTAGGTACCAGTAGCTTTATCTGGTCACAGGTAGGTTTGTGAGTATACAAAGAGAAAGGAAAACAACAAAACAGCCTGAGGACAGCTATAGTTCCAGCAGCAATCACTTCTTGTAATACAGATTAGATACAATAGACAGCAACTTCCAGTCAATGCTTTCGGATTGTGCAAATGGTTAAATAGCGATCTGGAGTGATACTTAGCTATCTTCAGTAAGAGCCAGGAGAATCCCATTCAGACTTTCAAGGATTTGATCTTCAGCTGCTTTGTCATCTCCACAGAGCCTGAGGTACTCCAGATGCTGACTCAGGGTTTCTAAACAGAATGGGATGGAAAACTGTAGTGAAGCCAGTATGGAGAATATTTGAGTTCTTTCTGGTATTTCTTTTCAGTGCCTATGGGTCACCATAAGATCATCTCCTTGAAGGGTCCAGATCTAAATATGCTCATTAAATAACTCATTTAATCCAAGAGCATGAGGTCAAAGGCTTGGTCCACTTCTTGGACTGCACATAGCTCTTATGCAGTCATAAATATGCAGAGATAAACTCTATCTGGAAAAAAAAAATTAACATATAACTGTTGCAGAGTTTGCGAAAAGGAGGAGAGAGAAATAGGGAACCCAAATCAAGCCTGTCATTTCTAAATACCTTAGCATAAAGATAGTACTTGCAATTCAACTGGCTGTATATCTACTCTGATAGTGGCCAGCAGCAGGTACTGAAAGAATGCAAGAATGAAACAGATATGGTAATATATTTCTCCCTTGGTTTCTAGCAACCGTGGCCTTTAGAAACACACCTGGTATTTACATCTGTTGTGGTTTAACCCCAGCTGGCAACTAAACACCACATAGCTGCTTGCTCACCTACCTCTCGAGGGGGATGGGGGAGAGAATTGAAAGGGTAAAAGTGAGAAGACTCATGGGCTGAGATAGACAGTTTAATAGATAAAGCAACAGCCATGCAAGCAGAGTAAGGTGAGGAAGTCGTTCACCACTGCCCATGGGCAGGCAGGTGTTCAGCCATCTCCAGGAGAGCAGGGCTCTGTCATGCGTAAAGGTTACTTGGGAAGACAAACACCATCACTCCAAAAGCTTCCCCCCACTTCCTTCTCCCCCCAGCTTTGTGCTGAGCATGACGTCATATGGTATGGAATATCCCTTTGGCCAGTCTGGGTCAGCTGTCCCAGCTGTGTCCCATCCCAACTCCTTGTGCTCCCCCAGCCCACTTGTTGGTGGGGTGGTGTGGGAAGAAGAAAAGGCCTTGACTTTGTGTAAGCACTGCTCAGCAGTAACAAAAACATCCCTGTGTTATCAGCACTGCTTCCAGCACAAATCCAAAACAGAGCTCGATATAGCTACTGTGAAGAAAATTGACTCCATCCCAGCCAAAACCAGCACTGCATCAATGTATTTAGTACATTTTGATGGACTTTTATTCCATGAATTTAATTACCTATTTAAGATAATTCATACTTTTTTCTCTCCACAGCACACTGTGACATTAAGTTCCACAGTTTCACTGTTGTAAGAGGAAGATACTTCCCTTTGTTTTAAAATATCTACTGAAAAGCTCAAAGGTAATGGCCTTTGAGTTTCTGTAACAAGAGAAAGGAATGATCCTTCACTACTTGACTTTCCCATGTTTGTCATGATTAGATGGATTTTTATAATATCTCTCCTTTATAATTCTTCTGCCAATTCATTTAGTATTTCCTCTGCAGAAACTTTGATAACTTGCAGAATATTTTTCCAGTTCACTTTTATTCTTTAAGTGAGGAGCTAGAATTCACAAGTGTTTTCAAGATATAGGTGGACTGGGATTAAGACAAAGATTGTAATATTTTGTTTTCTACTCTTTTAATCCTTTGTTGCTTTGAGGATGTGTTTTGTGTAACTATTAAAAATGACTCTATCTCTTCTGGGCAGAGGGAGTTAATTTAGGCCCCACCATTATTCATAATTAGGCCATCTTTTCCCCATGTATGTTCTGTGTTTACAGACACTGAACTTGATGTGCCTTTTTATCCTAAGTTGTACAGGATAAGATTTTTCTACAACTTTCTGCAGTCAGTTTTAATTTTGAGTGCTCAAAATAGTCCAAAACCTCTTTACCATTCTACTATTTCTAGATAATTTATGAATATATTGAATGGCACAAGTATAGCAAAGGTAACCTCTAACTATGGAGCTGTGTTGTGAAAGCAGCCTTTATTCTGCCCTTCAAACTTCATCAGATAACCTTCTCATATCCCAAGATAGCTTAGATGATAAAGCTTATTGAAAGGTTTGTAGAAATTGAAATGCATTTGTTAACAGTATCTCCTTTATTCACCTTCTTGCCAGCTCCTTAGAAATATGTTGAGATGAGCATTACTTGGCTCCATAGAAATCTCATAGACTCTCTCCTTTTTTATTGTATCTGTGTTTAGTAATTCTGTGCTTTACTATGATCCTACAATTTACCTATGCACAGATCAGATTTCTGTGCTTTGATTTCTCTACTTTAATTTCCTGCATTCCTTACAACTGTGTCGTAAACTCATGTGACTCTTAGTGCTTTCCACCCTATTAATCTTGCAGTAGATTTAAATGGTATTCTGCATGTCACAGTTAATGATCCGACGATTCATTTTTTAATTCATTATAAACTCTAGGGAATAACATCTAGTCCTGACAGTTGGTTACCATTTTTTTTATTGGTTTGTTCTAAATTAGTCTTCTGCCCTTTCAATCTGAAGGTTCTTCCATCTACTTCCTGAAAAATAAAAAGACCTGAAGTGATTGAAATAAATGTAAGAAATAATACTGGAAAACTGATAGCTTGAAGTAGGTAACTTAGAATATAATGTAAGGTGTTATCAAATCTGTAGTAAAATAGCATTTCTACTTCAATACTATTTCATTGAAAAAAGATGAGTCATGAGTCTTAGCCTAGAAATTCTTCAGCTGAGGATTAATAATTCATCTTTTTTTTTGTGGTTTGATGGATTCACTATTTTTCTCTTAATGTGTCCATTAGTTAATATGAGATTTTTTTATTAAAATAAGAATGCATGAATTTAGTGCATACAGGAATTTGCTTCAGAGGAACCAGAAGTGTCTTGAGCTGTTTTGAAGAGAGGATGAATTAAAGGGAGGGGAAGTAGAACATAATTAAAGGCTGTCCTTTGAGAAGAAAAATTGTTTGACTTAATTAAAAGCAGTTATTTAAGAAAGACAACTTTGGTTTTGTGCTTTAAACAAGATGTCATATTTTGAAAAATAGCTGGATTCATCAGGTTAAAAATCTATATGGGGTAACTTCAGTATTTTTTTATTCTAAGTAAGAAACTGAGACTGTATGTATTCATGTTTCTTGGAAAGGCTTTGTAGTTGAAAGTAACTCTGTGCTTGTCTTTTCATGGCCTATTCAAAATCATGTGCTAAGGGCAACACAGTCATAAAATTGATCACTGCTTTTAAAAAAAAAAAAAGATGACTTTGGATTTGCTTTTTATTAATGAAAAGAGGCAGAAAACTCCTGGAATATATAGCCGTACAATGAGGATGATTTCCTTTGACATGCTTTAAAAAAAATAACATTAATCACTGATTTCCATTTCTGTCCAGTTCTCCTGCCCCTATGTGCTAAATAAATGATTTTGTATGACTGAAGTACATGTAGAATGCAATTTTCCTACAAAAAAAAAAAATCACTTGAGCCACCTGACAGTTGAATTGGCTTTAATCTTAAACTAGATCTAGTGGGAGTGGGCAGAAGGCTACAACTGCTGATAGAGCAATGTGAAATCAATTAGGAGCCTGTGAGAATGAATTATCTGCTGAACTATATGGATTCATCCTTATCAAGACCCAGAATGTGTTGGCATGAGGGAATGCATTTAACTTCTAGTACTTTATCCTCAAATTAGAGCAATAGTGATATTTGCATCCACAGTTCTAATACAATATACAGAAAGATGAAAAGGCAACCAGGTCTCTTAAGTTGGAGGAGGTTGTTTTACAAATAGCAGGGAACAGTCTACATTACTGGTCACTCATTGAGTTGGTGTAGTGGTAATTAGAAATCCAGGTGCTTTGTTATTTCTCCAGGGGATAGATCAGTAAAATAACAGCATATGCATGATGACAAAGTCCTTGACAAATATCTCTCTGGTTGCAGTCTGTAGTGCTGTGAAATTAGTACTAAAGCAGCAGAATTAAGTAGCTACCTAAAGAGCTTGCAGAAGGCAGTATTTAACTGTAATAGTCTTACATATAGAATCATTTAGGTTGGAAAAGACCCTTATGATCATCAAGTCCAACCACTAAGCCATGTCCCTAAGCACCACATCTATGTGTGTTTTAAATACCTCCAGGGCTGGTGACTCCACTTCCCTGGGCAGCCTGCTCCAATGCTTGACAACCCTTTCGGTGAAGAAATTTTTGCTAATATCCAATCTAAAATCCAATCTTAATACTGAACCCTTTTTTTCAGATACTCAGAATGTTATGTTGTATGTTACTTATAAAAACTTGATTAATTTAATCAACATGGGACTGATTCTTCAACACTCATTGTCTTTAAGTTCATGCTTCTGAAGTGGAATTGAAGCAGACACTGTAAGACACAATTATTTTTGTGGAGAGGCAATAATAACAGCACACATACACATTGTGACTAAAATTGGCCAGAAAAAGGGTATTTCTATGTTGTGGAAAAGTCTGGTTGTTGACATTTGTTTCATCCCATGGTGGAACAGAATGCTGACATGGTAGAACTTCAGGCAAAACAGAACAATTTGTTTCAGTCTTTTTTTTTTTTTTTTTTTTTGCAAATGCGCTTCTTCCCCATCCGGGGGCTGCCTGGTGCGCTGGCCTGCTGCCCGGCTGGCTGGTAGGCAAGCTGGCAAGAAGCCAGGCAGGCTAGCCAGCTGGTCGGGCAGCGGGGAGTGCCTGCCCGCCTGGCTTCTGAGGAGGGTTTCAGCAGAATAAACATGTTCTCAAGGAATATTTCTTGTTCTCTTGAATCAGCATTTTTATTAGAATACTGTTCATCAGCTTTAGTAATTTACTGTAGAAGTGGGGGAAATGGACTCAGGCTCTGGTCTGGAAAGCTCTGCTTCTACTTTCTTGCTCATTACCTGCAGGGTCTGAATTTAGACATCTCTAGAGATTGAAGTACAAAAGGCTTTTTTTCCTGAGCTGAAGGGCTATATTATTAATTCACGCATAAATCTGTGCATAAACTACTGAGTAGAGGTGTAGGAACCAGACTTTTGCTGTGGGAGTTGGTTTTTGATCATCCTAATGAGAGCAGAAACAATAATGC